TGGCGGTGACTAGTGGAGCTCGCAATATCCTTCCCCCCGCCCGCCGCCCCACACCACCGTCGCACACAAAATGTTCCCACCAAAAATAAAATAAAAAAAGAAAAACTTTTGAGTTGCCATACATTGCCAGTGTTTAATTTGTTATACGAATTATTTATATATTTTTCAGTTCAATTTAGGCAAATTATAACGACAATACTTAAGATTACGTTTGAGAAAACAATTAAGCACGAGAAATTAAGGAATAATCCCACGGGATATATAGAATTAGAAGAAAAAAGAACCAACTAGTTAAAGTAAAGGCATTGGAGGGGGAAAAGTCTTCCATGATCTTGAGATTATTATTAATTTTTTAATCATGCGATTAGGCATAATGTGATGGACAACTACAATATTTATTATTAATTTCTTGTTAAATCACGGGCGAATGAAAGCACTACGACATTATTGTGCAATTGGATAAGCCCTACTACTATCCTACTAATTGGAATTACCTTAGAGCTAATAATGCCTATAGATTATTGTTGTAAAAAAACGACTATTACGGTGCTCAAGAGCTGGTAAAATTACGTTTTCATTATGGGCTTACGGAAAACTAGTTAATTGATTACGTTTGAATTGCCAGAAAGGCCAAGGGTTCAACCGGTAAAGTTTTACTTCGAATACTTGGAATGCGTTTGGATAACATTCTTTTTCGGCTAGGTATGGCTTCTACGTTTCCTGCAGCACGTCAATTAGCTAACCATAGACATGTTTTAGTGAATGGTCGTCTAGTAGATGGACTGATAGACCGAGTTATCACTGCAAACCCTGCGATATTTATTCATACTTCTTTAATTCTCTTAAATCCCTCATGCCCCCCGCACTCCGCTCCAACCCCCATCTGCCTGCCTCCCCCCCCCAGATTAACAATTTGGCAATGCTAAATCGGCAATCTTGGAAGATGGAGCAAGGCGGGGGGGAGAGACAGAGGGTTGAAGTGGGAATCGGAGGGGGTCGAGGAAATTCAAACTTTAGAATTTGAATTGGATATAATAATTTCAATTTTACTACTCCGGGTACTTGGTAGCACAAAGTAGTGCTAATAATAAATTAGAATTGGAAAATTCAATTCTATTCAAATCAATTACGTTGAATTTCAACATCCAATTCAATTCTAATTCTGTTAATTTCATGTATCAAACTCACTTTTGTCATGTTCTTGTGATGTTAAACCTTTAAAATAAAATTAATTTCTTGTTCATCCATGAACCGTTTTTTAATATATTATTACACAATTGTCAATTGAATTGAATAACAAAATGTTGGTCTTGCCTAGCTATGTATCTGCTAAGATATTTCCAATTCTAATATTTGATCCAAAATGGAGCCATTACTTCTCAAACAAAATCATGACGTGCCGATTTATCAAATCAGACAATATCTTGATGTACATTTACAACCTTATTTAATTAAAGAAAGAAAGAAATTCATTTTAATAATCTAGCCTTTATTTGAACAACGATTTATATTAATATATAATTAATGATTTCGAATGACTACGAGGAACCGAGGACTATTACGATGGCTTACCCATCGTCCAAGTGTTCATAACGTCCGTTTTTATATACATAATTGAGAATATTGTTAGAGGTTACTTTTAGTATTTTAAAAATGTTATCAACGATCGTCGTTTACTGTTAGCATTTGCAAAATCAGTCTGTTATATATTTCAGTGTAAGAAAAAATATTTGCTCAATAGTATCATAATAATTACTCCCTCCGTCTCAGAAAACTTTTCTCCTTTCTTTTTTCATCCGTCCCAACAAAAACTTCTCATTTCTATTTGTCAAGAAACCAATTCAATCAAAAGCTCAAGCTTGTGGTTGTAGCCCAGGATGACTTATTTATATTCTAACACGCCCCCTCACGTGCAGGCGTAGTCTTTTATCGAGCCTTGCACGTGAAACTTTAATTTTCTTAAAACTGGGTGGCGCTGAGTTTCGAATCCGTGACCTCCTAGTCAACAAGGCTCCGATACCATGTCAAGGAACCAATTCAACCAAAAGCTCAAGCTTGTGGTTGTGGCCCAGGGTGACTTATTCATATCCTAACACTATTAAAAAGTCACTTTTACCTCTTACTTTTTCATACCCTACCTATCACATCATACCTTTTTACTAATAATCTATTCATCAAATCATACTTTTACCCATCACATCAAATGACATTTTTGGAAATTCAATACCAAAATACACTCCCCTTAAATCCCTCTCCAAAATCAAAACTCCCATGTTTTCCGGGACGGATGGAGTATTAAAGAAGTTTAATGGTGCGGATTGCAGCTTTGTGGAGCCCCTTGCTGCGGGGTCCAAGGGCAGAGTCCCTTGCTGGGGTTTTTTATTTTGGACAAAGTGTTATGTTAAAAAAATTTAATTGAATCTTAATTTTTGAATTATCTTTAAAGGAAAATTTTCGAAAAAAAGGATAGTGCCCGTTTCTTGAAATTCGTGTGAAGGGACGAGCGTTTTAGATGGGAGACGCAACCGCAACTTTTCTTCCCCCGCGACTCTATAAATTCTCGAATAATCTGTACCGTTAACATTTTATCCAAAACGATAATCTTAATTCCCAAACGGTCTAATAGTTTAAGAAAAATACAAATATATATATAATTGAGATTTATATATCCCCTTAAAGCTTAATGTTGTTGTTTCCATTTTGTTAACAAAACGTGTCCCAATTTAATAATTTACATGTTTTATTATACACGGTAGTGTTTAAGAAAAGTCAAGTTATAAGTGTGCGAATGTGAAATTAATATATTCTTCTGCACATTAACTATGTGAAATGTAACACATAAAATTGGTAACATACATGGAGTATTTCAATGTAACTCTTTCAACTAAATGCACTAAAAAAACTCTTTCAACTTAACATCAAGTTCATATTCATATGTATGATGTTTAGATGCTCTGCATCATGCATATGTAAATTTACAGTTTAGACAATATTATAATTTTGCACAATAAAACATTTTGTGGCAAGTGAAATAACACATTTATTTTTTTATATTTTAAACTAAGTTGACTCTAATTAGTTCTGGAGAAATTAATTTGGTAGGACTAAACCAATAGCGTTATACACAAATAGGACCTAATTAACCAAAGAACTAAAACATTACTGATGAAAACTACTCATCTGTCATAATTTAAGTAGTTTAATTTGTTTACTAACACATCACCAACCTTTAACTACGTTCTTTGTCTATTATAGCTAGTCATTTGATAAAATAATACTATAATATGTTTGTCACATCTTGATTTGTAGATTTTTTCAATGTACTTTTTAATTATGTCAATTTTTTTTTATTCTCAACATTCAATTAAACTACGTTGAAATTTATTCCAGCCAAAAATTCACAAACATAAATAGGCAACTTAAATGGGGTTGAAATTCACAATATTATTACTATCTACTCGGTATTTGCAAAGGCAATATGCACTTAAAACCAAAATTGCTATCTAGTCGCAAAGGCAATATGCACTGAAAATCAATTTTAATGTCTTGTCTCGGACATCAAGAAAAAAAAGGGGAAAACAAACTTAAAAATATGAGAGGGAACTTAATAAACCACATAAATCCTGTTTGTGTAAAAATTAGAAAATACTTCCTCCATCCCAAAAAGATTTACACCTTTCAAAAAAATTGCGTCCCACAATCTCCTACCCATTTCTATTAAAAAACCACTTTTACCCCTTACTTTTTCAAACCCTACCTATCACATCATACCTTTTTCCTTATAATCTTTTGGTCGACCGTATACACTAACTGTCCTTACATTGATCTATTTTTTAGTGAATCTTTTCGGGAATAATTTAGATAAAAATGCAAGCAGCTTTGGTGCGTACGGAAATACAATACGTAATCTCGAAATTCTCTGTATTTTTTTGAATAATCTTATTTTACAACTGTTAAATACTTGTATTTTCCCTAGTTCAACTTTAGCCAGAGTAGTAAACGTTTATCTGTTTCGCTGCAACAACAAGATGGTGTTTCTAATAAGTAGNCTTTTGGTCGACCGTATACACTAACTGTCCTTACATTGATCTATTTTTTAGTGAATCTTTTCGGGAATAATTTAGATAAAAATGCAAGCAGCTTTGGTGCGTACGGAAATACAATACGTAATCTCGAAATTCTCTGTATTTTTTTGAATAATCTTATTTTACAACTGTTAAATACTTGTATTTTCCCTAGTTCAACTTTAGCCAGAGTAGTAAACGTTTATCTGTTTCGCTGCAACAACAAGATGGTGTTTCTAATAAGTAGACACATCACATCCTACTTTTACATATCAAATCAAGGTTATTTTAGGAAAGTCAACACAAAATTATCCCTCCCTTAATTTTCACTTTAGTCAAAATGAGTAACACTTTATGGGACGGAGGGAGTATGAGCTAGGACAAGATTGTTTATGATAGTAGAGTTCTTACAATTCACAACAAACGTTACATTTTTTATACTTCAAATTTATCAAAAAAAAAACTGTACATTTTTATAAAAAATAAATAAAAGATTGAGCCTTATCTTCAAAAGTTCATCAGACGACCTAAGAAGACTATCACTGAGAAAAACTACTTCCTCCGTCCCGGTGTATTTGTCCAGTTTGACTTTTTTGAATTAAACTGGACAAGCTTTGAGCTTTAATTAAATAAAAACCGTAATATATTTTAACATAAAAATAACTTCATTGGATTTATTTTATTGAGAATTTTCAAAATTGTATTTCATTATGTTAATATGCAATATAAATTGAGAGTAATTGGAATTTAAAATTTGTCCAATTTGACTCGAAAAAATCAAATTAGACAAATACACTGGAACAGATATACTAAATTGGACTTTTTGTTGTGGGCCTAGTAAAACTGGTTTGAAAATTAAAAATGCAGCTCGTGTAGGTAAGTTTCCAGCTCGTTCGCGTAGTAGACTACCCTTTAAAGTAGACTTCCACGTCATCCAAACGGTCCAGCCTGGCAAACATCCGTTCCCGCCATAGTCCAGCTGTATTATCCACGTGGACGATCGATGCTGACATCCCTACTCCCCTCTCCCCCTATAAAATCGTACCGTGCACTCAATTCTTCAAATAGTCTCTAATCAATTCCACTTTTACTCTTCCATCTCCGTCCTCCATAATGTCTCTAAATTACGGTATTGCCATTCTCGCCCTCTTCCTCCTTTCCCTCGCCGGAATGCGGACGTCATCGGCGGTTCTGGTTGAGGAGCAGCCGCTCGTCCTCATGTACCACAACGGAACCCTCCTAAAGGGAACTATCACCGTTAATTTAATCTGGTACGGGGAATTCTCTCCGGCGCAGCGGTCGATTGTCGCCGATTTCCTCCTGTCCCTCAATTCGTGGAAATCTAAGTCCCCTTCCGCCGCGTCCTGGTGGAAGACCACCGAGAATTACAGCGGCGTTGGCGGATCCTCCACGGTTGTCGTCGGGAAACAGATCTTGGACGAGAAGTGCTCGCTCGGGAAGTCCCTGAAGAATTACCAGCTTTCCTACCTCGCCTCCAGGGGCGGGAATTCGGCCGGAGCTGTTAACCTGGTTCTGACGGCGAAGGACGTTACCGTCGACGGTTTCTGTTCGAGCCGGTGCGGGACTCACGGGTCGACTCGGGGGAAATCTCGGGTCGCTTACGCGTGGGTGGGCAACTCGGAGACTCAGTGCCCGGGTCAATGCGCCTGGCCGTTCCACCAGCCGATTTACGGCCCGCAAACGCCAGCGCTTATCCCGCCTAACGGAGACGTCGGAGTGGACGGGATGATCATCACCGTCGCCACCGTTTTGGCCGGGGCCGTTACGAATCCGTTCAATAACGGGTATTTCCAGGGGCCGGCCACGGCGCCGCTGGAGGCGGTCTCCGCCTGCACGGGCATATTCGGGGCGGGCTCGTACCCGGGTTACCCGGGGGAGGTGCTCGTCGATAAAGTCACCGGCGCGAGCTTCAACGCGCACGGAGTGAACGGGCGAAAGTTCCTGGTTCCGGCGATGTGGGACCCCCTGATATCCGCCTGCAAGCCGCTCGTGTGACGTCGTTTTGACGGGAGTGTGGAATCTCCTGTGGGCGGGCGTACGTTGGTTTCCACGTTGGTTGGATGTGAACCGGGGGGTTTTGGCAGGGCTTTTGGTTTATTATTACTCCGTATTATTACAATTAAAATACTTGTATTTTACAATGCGTATATTTTATTTATGTAAATGTTTTTTTTTATTTTAAAAAAAACAAAGAACGAATTATTTAAAATCGATCCAGTCTTCCACGGAACAATTCAAAGGGTTCTTGGTCAACGCACATCTATACAATTAACTCATTTTCGAATATCCGAATTATAATTGTAATTTCAATCCAAACTAATCCGGGTATTATGCATACATTTTGTATTTGGCCTAAATTAAAGTAACACTTGACTCTATTTGCAATCTACACAATCAACTTCAACATAATCTTAATCCTGTTGTGTTTGTGGAGGCTTGGGCTTGATTTGTAGGCCCGGCCCGTTTGTTGTAACCCTAGTTGCGCTCTTCCTATATATATTGCATACTTGTACTTGTAATCGGCACCACAAGTGAAATAAGAAAATCCTCCTGTTGCAGCCGTGGATTAGGGAAACCGAACCACGTTAAATTCTTGTGTGTCGTTTGTGTTCCGTTTCTCTTGTTTCTAGTAGATTATTTGTGTGTGTTGCGTGTTTAATTCCCTACAAGTGGTATCGGAGCCAGGTTTGTTCAACACGAACACAAATTGCGAGTTGTCACCTAGGTTTTTTTGGGATCTGTGTGCGTGCGCAGCCGCCTGGAGTTTTCCGCTGGAGATCTGAACGAGTCCGATCGCGCAGAGGAGATCTCAAAATTGTCAATTTGATCTCGCCCTGCCGCCGAAGAGCGTGTGAGGAAGAAGATTCGCGGCCAGCGAATCAGCGTGGCCGCAAAGGGCACAGCAGCCGCGTCGAAGCAGCAAGGGAGCGCCACCGCCAAGTTTAAGGAGCCACCGCCGTCCTCAGTTGACGCCTCTGGTTCGAGGGAGATCTGAAGCCCGTCGGTCTGTAGAGGCAGAGCTGCCGTGCAATCAGCCGCTGTGGTGCAAGTCAAGTGTTGTTGCCGCCACCGAGTGCAGATCACAACCGCCGCCGTCCAGATCGTGTTGCCGTCCCCGCGAGGAAGATCGCTGACGTCGCCGCTACGTGTTTCCTCCGTTTGCGGACAGACCGCCGCACCGAGACTGTAGACGCCGTCAGCCACGTCGAGCAGCCCCTAGATCGCAAGCCCGCCGCCGTCTTGTGCATATCACTGTCGCTGCCATCTTCTCCTGCTTGGAGCTGTTTTGGGGGGCAGGTGCGAAGTAAGAAAAGTGGGCCAGTTTTTGGTCTTGTTTTGTTTTGGGCCTGGTGCTTGGTTTGAGCTAAATTAATTAGTGTGGTGGGCCTGATTTTCTGACGGAAAAATACCAAGATCTGAAATTAGTTGGACCGGGTATCTTGTCTAGTCGTTTGAAATGGCAGAAGACGGGAAGTTCCGAATTGAGAAGTTCGATGGTATAGATTTCAGTTGGTGGAAAATGCAAATTGAAGATTTGCTGGTTCAGAAAGATTTGGACGTGGTATTGGGTGACAAGCCAGAAAAAATGTCGGATGCAGATTGGGCAAGTTTGGATCGGAAAGCTATGTCCGTGATCCGTCTCTCATTGACCAAGAATGTTGCGTTCAACATTCTGAAGGAGAAGACAGCGAAGGGAATTATGGACGCGCTGTCTAACATGTATGAGAAGCCATCTGCAGCGAACAAAGTTTTTCTGATAAGAGAGCTGGTGAACACAAAAATGAAAGAAGGCACTTCAGTTACCGAGCATATCAACAAGTTGAATTCGATCTTAGCCAGACTATTGTCAGTGGGCATTAAGTTCGATGATGAAGTTCAAGCTTT